CTAGAAGAGAGGATGATCACCACATAAATAAGTCAGGCGCCGTTTCGGCTAGTACTGGAGAATAATGGTTCTCGCTAGATTCCACTTATCTGTTGACATAGCTGCAAGCATAAATATCTTAGGTTAGGGTGTGTTTGGATAGAATGATTTGCAATTTGATATATGTGATTTGGATTTCTAAATGTCAAATTATGAGTTTGGATATTAATTACATTTGGTATTTGGATTTGTGTCAAATCCATGGGGTAATTTCCAAAAACATATCTAGTGTATTGCTTGTCAACTTCAAATTCATTTCAACAACTAGTGATTTGAAATACCTCCTAACAAAAAAATTGGACTTGTTTGTAAAAATATTAAAAGATTAGGTACTATAATGTGAGCCAAAACATATAAACGTACCAAAACGTAATTTTACCATCAAAATTTCCGGACCTTTTTATAAATTTTAGGTACTAAATTGTAAGGAAAACTAATTTTGGATATCAAAATGTAGTTTACCATAATTTATAGTAAGTGACCAAAAAATTCAAAATTCATATAAAAAATCATGAAATTTAAAATACAAACGAGTATCCAAACAACGAATTTGAATTACATGTATTTCAAGTGCTAGTATTTCAAATGCATACATTTTAAAAATATGTATTTCAAATACCTTATATCTGAAAGACAACTATCCAAACGCACCCTTAATGAACGTACACGTGACCTTGCATCCACAAAAACGTACTAATTTTTATTACAGGTCATGTATGACATATTTCATTAACTTAAACCATTTGTAGGAGATTATTGAGAGGACATTGCAAGGCGGTGGGCTTTGCCTTCGAGCGGTTCTAATATTTCTGACCCTTTTCTTATTATATTAATGGCCCTTCGGGATGCTATGAATTGGTGTATGGCTCACTCTATAACTTAATGTTCTTTTCTGTGGTTATGCGCAGGTGATCATCAGGATGGTCAACGCTAGCAATTCGGCTCATGCTACGGGAAGTGTCATTCTGATGGAGTTTCAGGGGTTGCGAACATCTTTCTAGTGTGGTTCGTTTCACTTCGTGCCTCGTATGTAAAATAGGGCTGCCATATCGTGGCAAACAAGCCATCATATCGTCGGTTTCGTGAATTGTTGACAAACGTGTTTTTCTTTCTTTTGAATTTTGACCTCAAAATGTATATATATACTCATTTTCCTTAAATGTAGACAATCTGTTTGTAGCAAAAATCAAACCAAACATGGTCCAATACAAAATCACAAACATCATTGATGTCTATTACAAACTCAAAGTCCAATTCAAACTTAAAAATAAAAATAAAGTGCATCACAAGTTCACAACCAAAGTATAGACATCAAACACCAAATTCACTCCAATCTACCAGTTCACCAAACCATTTCTACTCATTAGATTCAAGAGAAACAAATGAAGCATTCGATCCACCTCCTTGATTTGTTCCATTCCTCGAGCCAAACACATTGTTAGTGTTGTGGTATATGATTCACAATTGAACCTTTCCCAACTACTCGAGTTATTGGGACCAACTGGTTCTTGGCATGGTATCAGAGCCTTCTGTGACCGAGAGGTCTTGTGTTCGATTCCCAGTTGTCGCAACCGTCCCTCCGGGGGTCCGAATGTCGTCGCGTCGGCATTTTTTTGGGAGTCGCCATCGATCTTACTTGGAGTGGATCGAACACTCTTCGGTCGGCTCTAACCTTAGGTCAGAACCGGGGCTTGGTCTGCGAAAATAAAGTTCTGGGTTCGGGAGTACGGTTACGTGTGGGGAAGTTAAGCAACAACCCCACAACGCCCTAAATTGGTACTACTTAGGCCGATAAGTTTTTATGCGAGTTGGGTGTATTTTAGTAATAATTTTGTAATTTTAGGGTCCCACTGGACCATTTAATGATTTTATCGTATTAGTTTATTATTAGGTATTTTAGGTATTTTTAGGGTCTTACCAGACCACTAAAGAAATTAAATCGTATTAATTTTAATTTAATTGTGCGCCCACTGACGTAAAAAATAAAGTTAATTGGTTAGTTGGACTCGAACCTTATCGGTTGCCTACGTACCCGTATCACGGGATCAAAGTCCACGTAGTTCGTTTGGTCTTTGATAATTTAATTGTAGCTTTACCACGTTCCACTGAACGTAATTCTCGTAATAGAATTTTATTGTTAAAATTTAGATTGATTATTATCAGGATTTTAATTATTAGGATGTATCTTGGTGTATTATAAAAAGAAATGAGACAAATTTAATCCGCATTTCACATTTCGTATTAAGGATTTTAAAACAAATAAAAAGTAAATGAGATGATTATGTTAATGCATGATGGGTTGGCAGCCCAACTGGCTAAAACCCCAGACCAGGCCCGCGTTTGACGCGGAGGTTGTGGGTTCGAAGCGCGCTGGAGGAGGTTTTTCTTATTTCTCGTTTTGATGTAGGAAAGGGCGAAGGGCATTCTAGTACTTTCACGAAAACGCGGTGGCAGGGACGCGTAAGTAGCCGGAAACCCTAGGGGTATTTTGGTCATTTTAAAACTTGAGGTATATAAAGTCTCTTACAACACAAAAATCAAACCCTATTCTAATTGACCTAGCGGCCGCCGCTCACCCCCTCTCCCTCGTTTTTTTTTCGTTCTCTCCTCATCTCTCCGGAGAAACAAACCCTAACCTCGCTCAAAACCGCCGCCGCTCTCCTCTCTAGGCTCTCTCCCTCTCGATTTGATGAACGCGAGAAGCGACCCCGCTCACCGAATTGAAAATGATCGATTTGAGTAAGATACTATCCTTGCATGTTGTATTTTTCGATTTTTCGTGAAAATCGATAGATTTCTGATGTTTTTTTTTAGTTTTTGATTCCTGGGAGCGGAAGAGGAGACGGGCATCGGGTCTCGCCGCCGACAACAACAATAGGCGGGATGCCGCCGCCGTTCACTCAAATGGCCGGAAGACTCTCGATCTGGGGTAAATCGTGACATGCATGGTTTTATTTTCTATTTTTCTGATCTTTTATTCAGACTCCTTCTAAATTTTTTATTTTTGTTTTGTTTTTGGTCGGCAGCGAGACCCTGCCGACGACGATCTTCGTCTAAAAAAAAGGAAGGTAGGATTTCGACTCCTTAATTTACGTTAATCTATCATTTTTATTATTAACAAAAGAAACTTAATCTAATTCGTTCTTTTTTTTGGAAGGTTTGAAAGAGAGCCCAGATCTGGGTAAGTCACTTCTAACTTCGGTTTGGGTATGACTTGGGATGAGTTAACTAAGTAAATGGACTATTATTGTTGACTTGGGATTGATTAGCAGATCTGAGTATTAGAAAGTAGGTTTTGTGAATGAGTTTTGAAAAAAATGGGATTTTGGTGTTTTGACGGGTTTGATGAATGGATTCGGATGCAATTTTGGTATATTAGAAGTTGCTAAAATGATTTTTAATCTAATTAACATAGACTAAATTGCTTATTTTGGCTATTATAAATCACCGCCCCTGCCTTTGATTTTGCGAAATTGGTATGGGTTTCAAACTCTAAAATTTATTGTGTTTGAGTGATTTGGATTTGGATCTAAGTTGATCCAAGGACTTCGAAAAAGTTTGTTTTGATTGTTATAAAAAAATATGTGCTATATCTAGTTTTACTTTAATTTGTACATGTATATGTATGTATGGCCACGAATGAGGAAAATCTAAACATGGCAAAAATAGTTTAAAACAAAATATCCAACTCTAGTCATAGTTAAGTTAATCGGCATAATAGTAATCTCATAGCCAAAACTATTAATATGGGAAGGAAAAAAAACTTTGATGATAGAGCTTAATGAAATTGATAAGAGCAGATCTGAGTAAATAATATTTGACCATCACATAGCTTGTATTAGAAAATACTCAAAGAGTATAAATATGCAAATAGATGGATGATTGTATAAATTGGATAAAATGAAGTTGATACAAGTACCAACCTGGATCAAGGCCTAAGAATGGCCTTTCCATACAACGATCTTCAAATCTGCTCCTTCAATTTCACAGTTTCCCCACTGAACTTCCACTGAACTTCGGCTAAGGGCAAGAACAAAAAAAACGATCACTTTGTTATGTGTATGTTTCTATTTTTTTTCTGTGTTTTTCTTCCTCCAATCCCCCCCTAAAACAAAGAGCCCCAAGAGCTCATTTATAGCAAAAAAAAAGCTGTCCCACGTGTCATTTCTTCATTGGTCGATTTTGAGGCCCACTGTGAGGCCTCCAACACAGTTGGTCGGTTCTGTCTGGTCAGGATAGGGTTGGCAGTTGGCACACAGTTTTAAGCTGAAATGGCAGAGCTGTGGGCCTGTATTTTGGGCCGACTTGGCCTTCGTTTGGGCTTGGATGTTTGTTGGGCCGAGCTCTGGGCTTGGAACCAGGCCTTGATCTGACTGGTTTTCTCTTATGTTGTAGGTCTCCAGTGCTGGGCCTAAAATGAAGGGCTGAAGAAAAGAACTAGTCTTTCTTTGTATATGTAGAATTTGTAATGGCCCATGTAATTACATTTTCCTTCCATGTCGATGCAAATTACGATGTAAGAAATCAATTAGCAAAGTTTATTTTAGTCTTTACTGATTCGTGCTCTATATATTGTAATTTGGATCAACATCCAAAACAGGAAGCATACTAAATTCCTAATCTCAATGCGTAGAACAATAATTGATAATCATTGGTTCATATCGACTTGCTACTGCTAGTCTCAACCGGTATTCTTGTCTTCAGACCTGTGCAAACTTCAAGCCCTTGTGAGTGGCTTTCGTTTGAGGGGGCGTGTTAGTGTTGTGGTATATGATTCACAATTGAACCTTTCCTAACAACTCGAGTTATTGGGACCAACTGGTTCTTGACACACATCACTCCCTCCAATATTGGTAGTACTTGTACCTTCGTGTCCACTCACATGCTCCCGCCTATCCGCCTCATCCACCATAATAGCATTGTAAACTAAATCACATGGATCAAAAAATATAATTGTCCACTCACTGACTTGGAGGGCGACGAGAATTGAGTTGTTGGCTGGCTGGTCGCGTCGTGGAGCGGATCAGAGGTGGGAGCGACGGGATGGAGAGAAGGGTGTAGGCTAGCTGGGTCGCGACGGGATGGGACGGATGCTGGCTGGGTCGCGACGTCGCGTTGCGGAGAGGAGGTGGGAGCGAACAGCGACGGCGCAGATGGCGACCGGCGAAGAGAGGTTGGGTCGCGTCACGGAGCGGAGGTGGTCGGAGTCTCGGAGAGGAGATGGGTCGCCGTCGGCTGCGCGAAGTAAATTGGTGCAGCATCGGCGTCGCGATTGAATGGAGAGGGAGTCATGTTGACTTGGCTGGCGGCTGATGCAACAAATTGCAAAGTGAAAATGGAACCAGGAACCCTCCAGAAAGCTAACCTGGGCCGGGGAGGGAGGGATTGGGCCGAGTGGCAGTGGGTTTGGCCTGTCCCTTGGCTTATTTTGAGCCTCTATCTATTTTGTAATTATCCGATTACCCGGTTTTAACCCAGACTGGATTGGTTCGGACTTCTTACTAATTTTGAGATCAAAGACGAGATTGAATTGTTTTAAATTCGGTATGGGTTACACAGTTTGATTTTCGGTTCTATATCAAGTTCTGAACTAAATAGTCGGCCCTATTACTTAGGAAAAAATTGTTGTTGGTATCGAATGAGTACACTTTTAAATTTTAGTGGATCATATACAAAATTTTCATTTGTATCTATCTCATTACAAAATATTTTAATATATCAATATAAGATTTATAAATCACATATAAAAAATTTACCTAATTATATGCATCATAATTTTCATTCTCAGTTAATTATTTTACCTAATTCACCCATTTTTCTACCGAGCAAGCGACACCCATCCAGTTGCACTATACCTCCGCCCATATATGACACGTTCATTTTTTTACTAAAAAATTTGAATTTTTTTCTATACAAGTAACATGTTTATCGTGATCTATTGTGATTTTAAAATTTATGAAGACAAAAAATTCAAGATCAAATAGATAAACATCTACCATCCTGGTATATAATGGTAGAGGTGGTGAAAGATGATAGATGATGGTTAATAATTACTACTATAATATAACAATCATCCATATAACATACTAAACATTACCACAATGATATAGATTGGTAATATATGTCTGAAAATTTTTCCCCAAAATATATCAAAGCAGATGTAATTATCAATCCTGTGATTCATATGATTTTTGTGTAAGAAAATGTGAATTCAAAATTAAAATGAGAGAAACATAGACTGTTTAGGTGTAGCGTAGTTATTTTAATTTAACTAGTAGTGTTTTACCATTTTTAAGAGTAGTGGTTGGCTAAGTAAGAATCACTACTAAGAAAATAAATCACTGTTACAAATAAGAAAAGTACTACTACAAATAAGCAAAACACTACTAATAGAGAACGGAATTAATAATTACAATAATAATCACTACTAATCATAACAGCAAAATCACTACTAATCGACGCAATTACTTTGATATCTACAAACATAGTCACTACAAATGGACAGACATATCTATGTCCCTTTCTTAAATATTATTGAATATGAGTCATATTTGATAACTAATCACCGCAATTACTCCCACAATAAAACCATCGCAATTACAATGCTAATTAATCAACATCTAATGGAATCACTACGAGGACAAAGCAACAACTTCATTGTGTGTTGTTTCAACAGGCATATTTGCTGGTTCCTCCGAATAGACGTCGGTTGTCGTGGGGAGATACCGGGCAGTGGATGGTCGAATGGGAAGAGGGAGAATGGATCAATCGGAGACGAAACTGGTAGCGGAGCCCCATATCTAGGGCGGCGCTGGCCTTGAACAGGAAGGACGAGGCAGCAAGAAGGAGCGTTATTCCCCCGGATCGATGGCGTCGAACGCGAAACTGGTGACAAAGCACCAAGACGGTTGTAGACGTGAAAAGAGCCGTCTCCGCCAACATCTCCCCGTCCATCGACGGAAACACCCTCCTCGCCGGCTTCGGCAACGCCCTCCTCTCGCAAGCACCCTTCTCTGGCTTTTCTAGGTTTTGGCGAAAAACTGTGGCTCATAGATTGGGAGAGGAAACCGTAAATGTGAAAACAGGTTGAAAGAGGAGTATTTCCGTTAGGGTTTGCGTAATTGTTGACTAAATTATTATTGAGTTAATTCGGACCTTAGGTTATTATTTTAATCTAATGATTGTCATAGTAGTTAGTATGGAGGTTAGGACCTAATCTCATTCCAAAATGTTATACATTATCTGTAATAAAAATTCGTACGTTTTTGTGCATGCAAGATCACGTGTACGTTAATTAAGATATTTATGCATGCAGCTAAGTCAACAGATAAGTGGAATCTAGCGAGAACCATTATTCTCCACTAGCCGAAATGGCGCCCGACTTATTTTATGTGGTGATCATCCTCTCTTCTAGTAGACTTTAGCTAGAGCTTTTTCATTTTGCCTGCCGCCGGGTCGTTTGTTACTCGGTACTCGATCTCCTTTCGTCAAAAATTGAGCAGGTCGTAGCTAGACTTCTGTGCTATCATATCATTCTTGTCTTTTTGTTTATGCAAACCGTGTGGGGCCTTAGAAAATAAGGGTCATCCATGTGAGCGAGGAATGAGGAGCTAGCCATCTAGTTAAGTGTGTTGTAATCATTTCGTAATCCGTTGGTTCTAGTTTAGTGAAGTTTTCATCATTTGTTCTGTATCGCCAATTCCTCCATATAAGGCAGCAGGTGTCTCAAACTTTAGGAAGAAGAGTATGATTTTCTCCATGCAGGTTCCTGGTAGCTGTTTGTGTGCACTTAACTATAGGGATATGGTCTGTGTACTCCTTTTAATGCTAATATTAAGTGTAATAAAAAGAAACTAGGTTTTTCACTCTTTCAGACATCTTTCTCGACAATCACCAAATTAAAATTTGATTCTGACTGGTTCAAACAAAATTATCTCATCATCGTCTCTATATATATATTGTCTTCTTCATTCAAATAACAAAAACGAACGCAATGGTTGTGGTCGACATAGTATATGCATGATCGCTAGCTAAACCGCAGTTTGTTCAAAGCATGAGATTTTCTCTTATTATCTGTCTTTCATCAGACTTTGTCCAAATATTACTACTAACGGTGACATCCTAACTGGAATCATGTACTGAAAAATCATATTCCATGAAAATACAGTTTAATCTAGAAAGTCACTATGTACACTACAGAAACTTCATTATTATTAAAAATAATATCTGTGAAATGGCGATGCTCCCTCTTCAATTTAGGGTTTTGGAATTTCGATTTGGGAACGAGAGTGAGAGACGAAGACTGACTTGGCGAACTGATCAGTTTTATTAACTGAGTGGGCCCTGAGATACTTAGGCCCGTAACTCAGCACAAGACTGTCGTTGGGCTTAATTGGATCGGGCCCAGGGCTTCTTCCTGAGAAGAGAAGAGAAGCGGACTGCTTCTTCTTCTTCCCTGAATCAGCTTCGCCACAAAACAGAGCAATAGAGAAACAGAGTACTGCTAATGCAGTAGAGAAATGAGAAGCTGAAAGAGAAAGAACACAGCGAGATTTTAACGAGGTTCGCCACTGGGCTACTCCTCGTCCCGGAATAGTACTCACTATTCCGAGAGACTCTTTTGATTTTCTTTGACTAGAAGTACGAAAAGAGGAACAAAGAAATTACAATGAATGTGAAAATCAAAGAGCTCGACTCAAGACCCGAATTCGCGCAGGAATTCGTTACAACCTCTGATCAGCTGAACCTCTACCTCAGTGTGATCAGAGCCACTATTTAACCCCAATTCCCTGCCATGTACCGCTAGGAATTCCTCTGAAACAGTTGCCTCCAAGATCTATAAAAGAGACTTATATATACCCTTCCTTGCCGGAGAGCCGTTGGTACAGAAGGTTTGAATTGATTAGCCTGGCTCCCCCTTGATTGATGCATCCTTTCCATCTTTGGTTCAATCCAATCTGTCAACTTGATTTGATGAGATTCTTCAGTCTAACAATCTCCCCCTAAAATTAAGATTGCTGATTGACTCGTTGAAACCTGCAAACAAGAGCACACACCTTTCCCAGAGCAACACAAAGATGGAATTTAAGAAAAACAGGTCTGAATAGATTTCATAACACAACAAGGATCATTCAAAAGCTGGTGAGACACGTCCAGCAAACCAAACTGTTAAGACCAACACAGAAGCTGGTGAGACGAGTCCAGCAAACCAGAAACAAATTATTCAACCAATCACTTCAACTGGCAAGACATGTCCAGCAAACCAGAAAAATAGTCAGCACTCAAAAGTCTCAATCAGATCCATAGTTATCTCGAATATCCTGCAAGGCAGCAAAGACCTCATCCAGAGGAGGTGGGTCAGAGGAGTCTGAGTCAGATGATTCTGACCCAGACGTATCACTACTAATCCAGTTGACTTCTAAGTCATGACCATCACCACCTTCCTCGGGATCTTCTACAGGATCCTCCTCAGCAGATTCAGCAGATTCTTGTTGTGTTTGAGTTGATTCTTAAGCCAGATGAGTTGAGTACAGCAGCTGCCAGCAGCTATGTACTCTACCTCAGCTGTAGAGAGGGCAACAGCACCCTGCGTCTTACATGACCAAGAAACTAGAGAGGTTCCTACAAATTGACATGTTCCTGTGGTGCTTTTTCTATCAGTTAAACTACCTGCAAAGTCTGAGTCACTATACCCTAATAGAGTGAAGTTATCATGCTTAGGGTACCAGAGACCAATATCTGGAGTTCCTCTAAGATACCTAAATATCCTTTTTACAGCCTTATAGTGACTTTCTTTAGGAGCAGCCTGAAATCTGGCACACAGACACACACTATGCTGGATGTCAGGTCTACTGGCTGTAAGGTATAGTAGGGAGCCAATCATACCTCTATACTTGTTTTCATCTACTGGAACACCTGACTCATCCCTGTCCAGTTTGAGATTTACAGCCATGGGAGTAGGACAGGGTTTAACATTGTTCATATCAAACTTGGACAACATATTATGGAGGTATTTTGATTGATTTATGAAAATACCAGAGGTGGTTTGTTTGACTTGGAGTCCAAGAAAGAATTTTAATTCACCCATCATGCTCATTTCAAACATGGATTGCATAGTTTCACAGAATGTTGTGCATAGAGTAGGATCAGTTGATCCAAAAACTATGTCGTCCACATACACTTGAACTAGCAATATTTCTCCTGACTCATGTTTGATAAATAGAGTATTATCAATGCTTCCTTGAGTAAAGGAGTTATCTAAGAGAAAGGTTGTTAGGCGTTCAAACCAAGCTCTTGGAGCTTGTTTGAGTCCATATAACGCTTTGTTAAGTTTATAGACATATTTAGGGTGTTCAAAGTCGATGAATCCAAGAGGTTGTGCAACATAGACTTCCTCTTGAATAATTCCATTAAGGAAGGCACTCTTCACATCCATTTGATATAGAGGAAATCCTAGGTGACTAGCAAAAGCACACAATAGTCTGATTGACTCAAGTCTAGCAACAGGGGCAAAAGTTTCATCAAAATCTATTCCTTCTTCCTGAAGATATCCCTGAGCAGCAAGCCTAGATTTGTTTCTAACAACTATTCCCTCTTCATCAGATTTATTTCGATAAATCCACTTAGTTCCTATGACTGTGACATTTTCAGGTTTAGGAACTAAGTCCCAGACATGAAGATGTTCAAATTGAGTTAGTTCTTCTAACATAGAGAGTCCCCACTCCTCATCAAGCAATGCTTCTTTAATGTTTTTAGGCTCAAACTGGGAAACAAAGGCATATTGACCAGGAGTATACTTACCTCTGGTTTTTAGACCATCATTTAGCTTGCCAATGATCAGATTTTCCGGATGCCTTCTTTGTATGTGTGGTGGCGCCTGAGGAGCTTGTGAGGTATCTTGTGAGCCAAGTGAAGGTTCTTCCAGATCTGATGGTGTTACTATTTTCTCATTATGATCCTGTTCACACGAAAATTCTTGACCAGGTGAAGTTAGTTCATTTAAATCAAAGTGTAATGTCTCATCATGTGTCACAAAATCTGATTCATTGAACTTCACATGTACTGATTCTTCTACTTTCTTAGTCCTTTTATTAAAGATTCTATAAGCTTGTCCTTTGGATGAGTATCCCAGGAAAATAGCAGAATCTGATTTGGCATCAAATTTTCCAAGGTTGTCTCTAGTGTTAAGAACAAAACAAGGGCATCCAAACGGATGAAAATAGGCAATGCTAGGAGTTTTTTCTTTTAGAATCTCATAGGGAGTCTTATTTATCTGCTTACGTACTAAGACTCGGTTGATGGTGTAACAGGCAGTGTTGACAGCTTCAGCCCAGAAGTGTTTTGGAAGATTTTAGTCAAGTAACATGGTCCTAGCACATTCTATGAGGGTTCTGTTTTTCCTCTCAACAACTCCGTTTTGTTGAGGAGTTCGAGGAGCAGAGAAGGTGTGTTTTATTCCAAAATCATCACACAGGTTTTCAAAGTGTTCTGAAATGAACTCTCCACCATTATCACTCCTGATGTTTTTAATGTTGAAGTTTTGTGAGGCTAGAAAGATTTTAAATTTTTTAAATGTTTCATCTTTATGAGATAAAAAAATATACCCAAGAGAACCTAGAAAAGTCATCTACCAACACAAAAACGTAGTTCTTACCACCTAGACTGGTGACATTACAGGGACCAAACAGATCCATGTGAATAAGTTCATAGGGACAAGTAGTAGTAATGTCTGGTTTTGCTTTGAAACTCTTACGTTTGTGTTTACCAGCAGCACAAGCATTGCAAAAGAACTCAGCTTTATCCTTAAGTTTAGGAACTCCTCTAGCTAAGCTTAGTCTAGAAAGGATGGCCAGTTTTCCAAGACTTACGTGTCCTAATTTTTTATGCCATAGAAACTCAGGAGAGATAGATGAAACAGCAAAGCATGTTTCATTGAACAGAGTGAGATCTGACAGATCTACAATGTACATGTTACTAACCCTTTTTCCTACAAAAACAATCTTGTTGTCTTTAACATTTTCAACAGTGCACCTGGTATTTTCAAACACTACT